CACAACATCTCAGTATGGTTGTCATTAATACAGTTCGGGTTACAACAGCTTAGTGCGTCCTTGGGGAGGACGAGATTTCTCATAGATGACCTGATTTTAAACGATATTCGTTCAGGTTCTTTGTGGTCGTTTTGTTCCAATTAAGAAAAGTCACGTGTTCACTGATCGTTTGGTCGTTATTCCTAAAATGAACTAGACCTGCCAACTCGACTGTCACGCTCATCGGAAAATGGTCAGAAGACAAGACATCGTGCATAATATTAATACTTGATATAGCATTATGCGTCGAATATGTGCTAACACAATGGTCCAACCAAGCGGTGCCACCATGGGATTCACTATAAAACGTGAAATTATCGTTGTCTTTGCCCAGCAAACTAAAATCAGAAATAAATAAGTTGTTTTCACTGGAGAATCGCTCAAGCTCCAGACCAAATGATGTTCCGATTCTAGCGTTGAAATCTCCCAGGACAATGACATTCGCCGAATCAAATTCTTGATTGATACAATCAATTTTTCCTAAATACTAGTACATAAGAAAGCTGTCATAATTGTCATTAGCACACGTAGGCGTTACTGAGTTGTGCGTTACTGAGCACTGTGTTACTGAGTACTATGTTACTGAGTACTGTGTTACTGAGCACTGTGTTAGTGAATACTGTGTTACTGAGTACTGCATTACTGAGTACTTCGTTACTGAACATTGTGTTACTGAGCACTGTGTTACTGAGCACTTTGTTAGTGAACACTGCGTTACTGAGCACTTTGTTAGTGAACCCTGCGTTACTGAGCACTGCGTTACTGAACACTGCGTTACTGAGCACTTTGTTAGTGAACACTGCGTTACTGAGCACTTTGTTAGTGAACACTGCGTTACTGAGCACTGCGTTAGTGAGCACTGCGTTACTGAGCACTGCGTTAGTGAACACTGCGTTACTGAGCACTGCGTTAATGAACACTGCGTTACTGAGCACTGCGTTAGTGAACACTGCGTTACTGAGCACTGTGTTACTGAACACTGCGTTACTGAGCACTTTGTTACTGAACACTGCGTTACTGAGCACTTTGTTAGTGAACACTGCGTTACTGAGCACTTTGTTAGTGAACACTGCGTTAGTAGGCACTATTTTAGTGATCACTCTTTCATTCAGCACTGTATTTAATAATTTAACTCTCGATACACCCACATATATAGAAGTATACTGCGAGGTAATACGCATGCAATCCAGATAAGTCTACCCCAACCATCCGTAACAGTTCAACACCTGCAGATGTTTATTTCATATTCTTAGGCAACGTACTGGAACCATCGCATGCGATAACCATCATCAATTCGCAAAATTTGCATATGCATCTTGCTATCGGGGCACACTGTGAATGTTTAATATATATCAGATGTCCATACGCATGGATGTTAAAACTATGAACATGTGTATTTGATGAGAATTATTCTGCAGGGTAATATATATATATATATATATATATATATATATATATATATATAT